TTATTCTCGACAAAATTCTCTAACTCTTATGAGTTCCTTTTGTGAGATGAGATCTAATCCTCTGATAGGCATCTTGACCTCACTATTAGTGTCTATTTGAGACACTGATGGAGGGTGGAGGGGACTATAACATTACCATGGATCCAGAATCGACCTAATAGTAAGTTATAAGAGGTCTCTACATCGATCACATAGCATGTAACCTCCGATTTTAAATCTCTGAATTGGCATATCACTTGGATTTTACCTAATGCCCTAGATCCACTGGTGTTAAATCCATAGATAACAGTGTCTGTGGATGCTAACTTGCTAACGGGAATTTTGAGATTGTACATCAATCAGAGTGGTATAATACTGATAGCGGAACCCAGATCGACTTGGATCCAGTTGACAATACTGGAGCTAATATATCCGGTGAAATACAAAGGTATGTCATGCTTCGAATTCCTTACTTGTATGTCCTCCTTGGTGAAAGTGATGAATGAGAATTGTTTGACCACGAGGTTGCAATGTTGAGCTGATGACTCTGATTGTTCAGGGATCAGCTTGATATGAGTGAGGAACACATCAGAATCGGCCAAAGCTTCTTAGAAAGCCTCCCGGGTGTCTTTAGATAGACATAGTAACCCATACAGAGTTATCCTCACTGGGATGTTAGCCAGTTGGGCCAATAACATCGAAGCGGTATGGAACGTTCAAACTTCCTGGTTTGTCTCTCCCAATCGGATGATAGAATCGAGACTGCTTTGGGTTTTGAACCTCTTGGTGCTGGGGCTCTTTATCCTTCTGCTTAGAGCCTCCTTTCATTAAGGAGTATCTTCAACTATATTTGATGGTCCAGACCTAGGCCTCTTTGATTTTGACATGATTCAATTACAAAATTGAAAATAGAATAGAGAAAGAGAACTTACCAAACTATTGAAACCCTAAAAGTAGTCGGCTAATTGAGGCTGTAGTCGACTGCTGAAACTTGAAAAGAACATGCCAGGTCTCGACCCAACACGTAGCAGTTGCACGTCTCAGATATCAAGACGGATGCCAAACCACTGTCAAACAACAACAAGAAGACGGTTTCGTCGCAATGATCGGAGGCGATCGAATCCGAAGTCAAAGAAGCTTATTGACGTCGGGCTTTCGTTCGGGGAGCAACATCCCCGAATGGCTTCGCCAATATTGTCCCAGTCCTTAAGCAAAGAACGGGAAAGGTCAGTGATTTGTATCGACTTTCGTAAAAAAAATTTTATCTTCTCATGCTCAACACTTGCTTGCCCAAAAGATGATTTTTCCTCTCCCCATCACGGTGTTATCATGCGACGAAATACGTGTGGGTTCGAGAGAGTCTTTCATGGATGGCTTCTCTGGTTACAACGCAAATCAAGAATGCACCAGACGATGAAAACACACAGGCATTCAGAACGCCTCTCGGCGTCTTCTCTACACGGTTATGCCCTCGCGCTTAAAGAAATGCAGGTGCTACATATAGCGCGCCATGTCAAGATCTTTCAGGGCATCTCCGAAAGACTGTTGAATTGCTACGTGGATGACTTGGTCGTGAAAAGTCGTGATAAGAAAGATCATAATAAGGACTTGAAGAACCAATGTCGACTTGAATGAGAGCCCATCAAATTGAAGATGAATCTACCAATCTTTCATCGGAATGTCGAGTACAAGTTCCTGGGATTTCGTCGTCACAACCAAGGTATCCACATCGATCCGCGATAAAGGTAAAGCGATTAATGATTACCTCCGAGGAACCTCAAAGGGAGCTCATGAGATTGCAAGGACGATTGCTTACTATCCGTACGGTCTCATTTTCGACCTCTCTAGGAAAATGCCAACCATTCTCGGCGCTCGCAAAAGAAGGCGTATCATTTGTATGGGATGAAGCTTGTCAGAAAGCATTCGAGAGCAATTAAAAATATCTCTCAAACCTCCGTACTCGTTGCAGCACCGAAAATAGGCAAACCCGTCTTGGATTTATGTCAAGCGACGAGCCACTCATTAATGCATTACTTGCACAAATGAACGATTAACGGTCACGAGCAGCAGTGCTATTACTTGAGGCCGAACCATGGTGGGCGCCGAGTCTCGATATCCTAGTGATGAGAGAGGAATGCCTCGCCTTGGTGTTCGATCATTTTCAGAAATGCGACTTATTGGTCGGGCAGACCATTTACGTCATCTCTAAGGTTAATCCGGTTGCGAGTATTTCAGACTCAAACCGCTTCCATGAGCCTGGCGATTACAAATGCCTTACTCTTTGTCCAATACGACTTGCATTCAGCAACAGAAGTCAGTAAAAAGGCAGGGCCATCTGTGACCTCCCTGGCAGACAATCCCAACAACGGATCACCGGCCGAGTATATGACGATCTACCCGAT